GTAAACTGCATATGGGAAGCCGATGAAAGTAGTTCGCCATGGAGAGGTGATATATTCGACCATGTATTTAAGCAGGATGTACAAATCAGATGTATATGGATCTGTAGTAAAACCTTTAGTCGATTCCTTCATGGAAGGTTTCAATGCCACAATATTTGCATATGGCCAAACATCTTCTGGCAAAACACAACACACATTTTGGTCAATAAAACAGATCCTGGGCTTTTCCAATTAGTATCCAATCAGTTATTCCAGCATGTGGCAGACCAGGTTGATAAGAGGTACTTGATTAGATGCAGTTATATTGAAATCTACAATGAAAGATCAATGACGTCCTGGATAAGAGCAATCAGGGTTTACTATAAGAGAAGATATCAAAGGAAATGTGCTGCTTGATGCAAGGGAAGCTGTCGTAGACAATGTTGATAAAGTTATGGAGAACATGATGCAGGCAATAAGATCAGACGAGTTGCAGCTACTCGCATGAATGAGAGGTCATCTCGATCACACACATTTTCCGGATTATTCTGGAGTCGAAAGATGCCAATCAGAAAGATGGACCTGTACATATAAGCTACCTTAACTTAATGGACTTAGCTGGTTCTGAGAGAGTTTCTCTGACGAAAGCTGCTGGTGAGCGTCTTAAAGAGGGGGCTAACATAAACAAATCTTTGTCAGTATTAGGAAATGTGATAAGGCCTAAGCGAGGGGAAGGAGTTTATCAGTTATCGCGATTCGAAATTGACTAGACTGCTCTCACAGGCTCTTGGCGGTAATGCCAAATCATTGATTATCGGGAATGTTACTTTAGCTGCAGAGGAGGAGACTAGATCTACACTAGAATTCGCCCAAAGCACTAACACTGTCAAAAATAAACCGAAAGCAAACATCTTGTCAGCTACAGAAGAGGCACTTCAAGGATATCAGAACTTGACTCGCGATCTCGAAACTCGGCTCAAAAAGCAGGCAATTAAGCTAGAAGAGATGGAGAAAAGCAAACAAGAGTATCTGCTCGAGATAGAAAGACTAAAACGGAAGTATCTATTGTCGGGCGCTTCCAAATGGGAGCCTCGGCATCAACACCGAAAAAAACATTAAGACGTCATACTTTTGGAGACTATGGCAACGTATCACCTAAAAAAGCATCCCTACGGTATATGCCATTGAAAATTATCCACCCGAAGAAGAATCATCCGGACGTGAAATGAGGCCTATTCAAGAAGAGACATATGAGGAGGCACTAGCCGAAGCAGAATCTGTGATAACTGAAGACGTGCCTGCAAGTGTACTTAAAAGACAACTCAAAAACTGGAAGAATCTTCAATGAGCTCAGAGAATTCACTAACTAGATAATCAGCTGGAGATTTTGGACCTGAAGAAACAGCTCACAGAAGCCAATTCTAAAATCGATCGTTACAGTCAGGAACTCCGCCAAGTAACGGATGCGTACAATGAAGAAATAGAAAGGGTTCAAAAAAATTCTCAAAAAAGCGCAAGAATTTCATCGACTTGCAATACAGACTCGATTCAGATCAAATGGCTGAACTGGAATGCCAAAACGAAATCTGGATTATGAAAAATGACGACGAAATCGGTAAATTGCAACAACTAATTACAAACCCGAAGCAGGCTGGCACTTAACCAGAACCAGCTGTGCAGGAAGACGTTGCATTTTATAGGGAGCAAGTTGAGTTCTCCCAGAACATGTACAAAAATGAGATAATAGATGGAGGGTTACGTATAAACCATAGAGAAAATCTTCAGGCAGTTAAACTAGAAATATGTCTACCCTTGTTTAGTGTTTACGATTATTGCAGGGTTTGGACAAAGTTTAGGGCTGATCCCACGCACCACGATAGCACCTAGGACTTAAGATTGTGAATCTAGTCTTGGTAACCGCTCACAGTGTACAATTTTCAGCTAATAAATCTTGAATTCTGAGGTAACAAAATCAACTAGAACTCTGTAAAAGTGATTTATCAGAAATCATGCCCTTACTTCCATGATAAGAGGGATTCGTAAAAATTATAAGCAGGTTGTGGCTTATTATCTAGTAAAAGATAAAAGAATCCCAGATCTGAAAACGATTATTGTTCATGTGATCACAAACTTGCAGCGACTTGGTTTGTGCGTCGTTGGCACTATTTGTAATCGGGGCGCAACGATCAAAAACGCACTTGAGACGATTTGCTCGGAGAATACTCACGGATCAAGTCCATTCCATTTTATAGTCAATGCTCAGAGTATTTCTACAATTTGTGATGAACCACATTTATTCAAAAATGGATGAAATGCTCTTATTGACATTAATATGAAAGTGAAGAAGCTGCACAGCTTGAACATGTCTAGAAAGCATATAATGTTGATCAACAAGACCATACAAAGAGCTATGTAAATTGAAACCCAGCCACTTTGATTTTATAGATTCGTTTAAGAATATAGAAATTAATCCTTTAATGGTATCGTCGGATGATTCGAGCTTTCTCAGTTATGTGTGGTGGGGCTCCCGTGACTTCTCATACGGTATAAGCACGTATACCTCAAACCACAGTTTAATTTAAACATCACAAGTGTTGGTTTGTTGACTTTGCGGTCAAATTTGATCCGAGGATGTCAGCTGCGTGTACGATTTGAACTTCCTTCACAATGGATTTTTTCGTTGTTGACGGATGAACAATACACCATAGACTACGCCGAGGACGACGCTGTTAGCGATCAACCTGAACAACTTCCTATGGACGACCTCGCTATGCTTATGGAAAAAACATGTACAATTGGTCAAAACGAGCGCCTGCAACTGGTCGATCCATACGCATTTACCTGAACTAAAGTCCGTGGCAACCAATTTGGAAAATAATAACCCTGTGACTCGAGAAATGCAGATAAATTTCTCCAAATACGTGAAATTTTCGAGACACTCATAGAGAACTGTCGAAATTTTTATTTTTCGGGTGAGTCCCCTACAAAATACGAGATGCTCGTGGGCCGATGTCCTTCCTGTGCCTACAAGAAAACTAAACCGAATAAGTATGGACTGATGATGCAAAGACTCACCACTACCTGCTCAATGCTTTCGTCTATACGAACAGAAATATCACACCAGTAGAATTACATGTAGAATTGCGCATCAACCAACTGACCAACGTCGGCAGGAAGCGTAAAAATAAGTAACAAGTACCCCAACATGTAGTTCCAAATAAGAAGGAAACACAGCCAGGTACTTCTAAGTTTACGTTCACTAGCACTACAGCCTTAGTGTAGTATCTTCCAAAACCAAATACACATGTTCTCGTATAGCAATCTATGCAGCATGATAACAAAATAGTAGAGGAATCAAAGAAACCTGATAAGATTCTATATTATTTTTATAACACTATGAAGGCGGGGGGTAATGCATTAGATCGGAAGTGTGTAAATTACAATACTGGTTAGAGCACGAGAAGATTGCCTTGTGCTATTTGGTATCCAACCAGCTTCTGTAAATTCCTTTTTTTTCAGTCTGGGACTGAAAGTTCTATTAGGCGACGAAATTTTATTGTTCTCCTGAGGCAAACTCTAATTTAACTTCGTATGAGAGGACGTTTATCAGATCCAAGACTTCCTAGGGAGCTTCGTTCAGCCATGCAAAGAATCCAAAATTACCAACGACGAATAAAGTAAGCCGTCTACTTCTCAGCCCAGAGTTCTCGATCCTGATGCAGTTGATAAAGGGAAAAAACGACGTAGGTGTTACATGACAATACACAATGAAAAAAATGTTCTACAATCTGTAATAAGTATGCAAAGTCACAGAGCAGCTACATTGTTTCGTGAAAAGTGATAAATGTGAATTATTGTACGTTTCCTTATACGAGAAAGTATTTGTTTTGTTGTAGAATATCAACACCAAATATGTTGTTAAATGGCCCATTTTGTTAGTTTTTTTATGTTCATATTACAGTTCAAGTTTCGTAAATTATATTTGTTGCATTACTCATCTTCAAATGGGGTATTTTCGTTTTTAGACAATAAACAGTTTTCATGTAAGAGTGTTTTATGCGTACAAACCTGTTGTACACATGGCTAAAAACAGTAATGGCATTTCAGAAGTTGATAGTAAGATCCGGTGGATAACCTGTTTTGCGAGATTAGACGTGGGATTTCCAACACGAACCCCATCTGCTTATTTGCAGCATTAAAAACTGTAATAATCAACAATTTCAGTTTTCCATTGACAATAATGAAGAATTATGAAGGCGATTCATGTAAGGCACTAGGTAACTTCGCGTTGCTTTTAGAAGAGTATTGTCTGAATAGACAACAGTTACCTTGTGATTCTTCACCGAGCTGCATTTTTCAAGTTGAAAAATCGGGTGCTGAAAGTGATGGATCTATAGATTTGTGAGAATTTGCTGCTGCTTCAACTTCTTTTTGTAATAACAATAACAGTCTATATAAAATTTAACAATTCTGTTTCTTCTTTGATTTTGAGTCACCCTGTAAATGTAGCTCTACTAAATATCGGACCGCATTCATAGCCTACAAGAGAAAAAAATCTTCTATACTGGAAAGGAGGAAAAAAAGAATGTATCAACCTGATACATCTGCCCCTCTTTATAACCCGTGAAATAGCCCTAGTTCTAATTAAATTTCAGTTCAAGCTTCCAAAATGACTTCCGACAATATTAAAGTAGCCATAAAGATCAGACCAATGATCCACCCCGAAGTAGCCGATGGTCTAGAGCGTCTTTGGAACGTAAGAGCAAACTGCATATGGGAAGCCGATGAAAGTAGTCGCCATGGAGAGGTTTATATATTCGACCATGTATTTAACTAGGAATGTACAAATTCAGATGTATATGGATCTGTAGTAAAACCTTTAGTCGATTCCTTCATGGAAGGTTTCAATGCAACAATATTTGCATATGGCCAAACATCTTCTGGCCAAACACTTCTGGCAAAACACACACCATTTTGGGCAATGAAACAGATCCTGGGCTTTTCCAATTAGTATCCAATCAGTTATTCCAGCATGTGGCAGACCAGGTTGATAAGAGGTACTTGATTAGATGCAGTTATATTGAAATCTACAATGAAAAGATCAATGACCTCCTGGATAAGAGCAATCAGGGTTTAACTATAAGAGAAGATATCAAAGGAAATGTGCTGCTTGATGCAAGGAACCTGTCGTAGACAATGTTGATAAAGTTATGGAGAACATGATGCAGGGCAATAAGATCAGACGAGTTGCAGCTACTCGCATGAATGAGAGGTCATCTCGATCACACACGATTTTCCGGATTATTCTGGAGTCGAAAGATGCCAATCAGAAAGATGGACCTGTACATATAAGCTACCTTAACTTAATGGACTTAGCTGGTTCTGAGAGAGTTTCTCTGACGAAAGCTGCTGGTGAGCGTCTTAAAGAGGGGGCTAACATAAACAAATCTTTGTCAGTATTAGGAAATGTGATAAGGCAACTAAGCGAGGGGAAGGAGTTTATCAGTTATCGCGATTCGAAATTGACTAGACTGCTCTCACAGGCTCTTGGCGGTAATGCCAAATCATTGATTATCGGAAATGTTACTTTAGCTGCAGAGGAGACTAGATCTACACCAGAATTCGCCCAAAGCACTAAAACTGATGTCAAAAATAAACCGAAAGTAAACATCTTGTCAGCTACAGAAGAGCACTTCAAGGATATCAGAACTTGACTCGCGATCTCGAAACTCGGCTCAAAAAGCAGGCAATTAAGCTAGAAGAGATGGAGAAAAGCAAACAAGAGTATCTGCTCGAGATAGAAAGACTAAAAACGGAAGTATCTATTGTCGGGCGCTTTCAAATGGGAGCCTCGTCATCAACACCGAAAAAAACATTAAGACGTCATACTTTTGGAGACTATGGCAACGTATCACCTAAAAAAGCATCCCTACGGTATATGCCATTGAAAAATTATCCACCCAAAGAAGAATCATCCGGACGTGAAATGAGGCCTATTCAAGAAGAGACATATGAGGAGGCACTAGCCGAAGCAGAATCTGTGATAGCTGAAGACGTGCCTGCAAGTGTACTTAAAAGACAACTCAAAGAACTGGAAGAATCTTTCAATGAGCTTAGAGAATTCACTAAACTAGATAATCAGCTGGAGATTTTGGACCTGAAGAAACAGCTCACAGAAGCCAATTCTAAAATCGATCGTTACAGTCAGGAACTCCGCCAAGTAACGGATGCGTACAACGAAGAAATAGAAAGGGTTCAAAAAAATTCTCAAAAAGCGCAAGAATTTCATCGACTTGCAATACAGACTCGATTTTCTGGAAAAACATTATAAAAAGACTAAAAACATACGAGTCAGAAATAGAGATGCTGCGTACTCAACTGAAGAACCTAGGAAGATCAGAGAGCCCTTAACTATCTCTTGAAGCTCAAAATATTGAGTCAAAAAAGAAGGTTGCAGGCTTAGAAGCTACGCTTGACGCTGAGTATGAAGATATGCAAGATTCTTTAAGTGCTGCTACACAAACTGATGTAACGATGTCACAGATTGCTGAACTGCAAGATGAAATTGGCTTCCTAAAAGAACTTGAATCTAAACTGAGAAATGACGTAAAGAGTCTGATGGACGAGAGTAATCAACGTGAGGTCAACCACTCATTTAAAGTCTCAGATATACGATGCCATAATGATTCTACTATAAAAGAGCTTCAGGATCAAATGGCTGAACTGGAATGCCAAAACGAAATCTGGATTATGAAAAATGACGACGAAATCAGAAATTGCAACAACTAATTACAAACCCGAAGCTGGCTGGCACTTAACCAGAACCACC